ATGAAATACATTTTCAAAGAAGAATTTAGGAAAGAAAAATAGTAAATAAGTCTGAAAATCATAATTACATAAACTTTAAAAATTATAAAACCTTTTAAAGTTTCTTTACTTCACTGGTCTCACTACCCCTCTTGCAAATTAAGTTTTCTACTCCTTAAATTTAGGGATGAGGATAAATTTATGATCTAGTTGAAACATTATTTGGCAAAATGGTTTGTACTGGCCATTTTTCTAAATCCAAATATCTTTCCATTTTTTGTTATTGTACCACCTGAAACGGATGAAATTTTATAAATTTGGGTGGCAAATGTCTGATGGTCTGAATTAAAATTCAGGTTATACAGAGTAGGCTACATTCCCTTTGGCACTAAAAAATGAGGTACACTGAAAACATAAGCAACAAGTCCGTGTGAGGGCTTATTATTTATTTTAATATGCCTGGATTAAATTAAAGCATTTTCAAAGACAAGAGCCAAATCAAAAGTTACAAGGGCAAATGGCTTAGACTATAGATACTGAATTGCTAATGAGCAGTGGCAGTTTTTGCATAAGCAACTATACAGCCTGCACCAGGTAGAACAGAAGCGAGACTAATTAATTAGAATGAGAATGGGCAGAAAGCTAGAGAATGGCAGACAAGTACTATTTTTCTGTACTAATAAATACTATGTTATGTATAAAATAATTATTATGATACAATGAATTTATACCAAGAATTAAAAATCCCTTAAGAAGTTTATCAGTTTTCAAGGAAAATGTTACAGATAGTCTTAATAGAATTTTAGGATGGTAAGAGACATTAAAGATCAGCTAGTCAAACTTCCATATTAAAATAAGAAAAGGTACCATGAGACATTAAATAACTTACGCTGAAATCATGTTTGATTCAAATAACTGGAACTGATCAGAAACTAAAGAGAGTTTATTTTGGTTAAATATTACCTTTAATAGTTTGAGATGCAAATATTCAAGAATACTTTCACAAAATTGGATTAAAAGAGCCCTTTTATAATTAATAAATTCTGACAATGTCTTCCCCACAAAACCTTTGAAGTGAAGACAACTGTTCCTTACTCCTCTCTAAAGATCTAAATCAAAAGAATATTCTAATGTGAAGATTATTTTCCTGGAGTTGATTTAGAAAACACAGGCCATAATTCTGGTTCTTAAGAGGGGAAAAAAATAATCTTTTATTACATTTGGATGAAATTTTATTTTTTAGGAATCACTGCTTGGCCGTGAGTAGTCATTGCTTGCTCAATGTTATTCACACTTCCTCCGTTATAGCAAGCTCATGTGTAACAGGCTTAACTTGTAGGATGGGTTGGAACTCTCATTCTAATCCAAGGGCCAGAGGTCACTGTAAACCACAAATTCTTCCTCCCTGGGGAAATGTCAGGGACGTGTTCCTTCCCATCTTGTTTTTCTGCAATAACCTTTATATAAAATAAAGTTTATGGCACTAATGATTAGATCTGACATACTATAATACCTTATCTGGCAATTAATACAAAGAAAGAAATTCTTTTCTTCAGAGTAGCACCTAAGGAATTTCAATTATCTAGTTATTCTGAGGTATAATGAAAGAATACAAATTTTAAAGGGCTCAGAGGAAGAAATTTCCCCACAAGATAATTTTGACAGCCTAGAATAGGGGTTGACACACATTTTCTCTGTAAAGAACCAGGTGGTAAACATTTTGAGTTATGTGGCCAGTTGTCTCTCTCAACTACTCTGCTACTATAGCATGAAACCATCCAGTGGACAATATATTAATGAATAGGGGTGGCTGTGTGTTCCAATGAAATTTCATTTACAAAAACAGGTAGCTGGCCATACTAAACCACATGCTATGGTTTATAAGCCTGATCTAGAATTTATAGTGATTCATAAGAATATAAAACCAAAATTTAAATTTAAAAAATATATATTATACTTGGAGGTACTTAGCTGATGCTCAGAAAAATTAAATATATATTTTTAGCTTTAGGCAAAACCTGTTTGCCTTTTCTTATTATACAAATTATAGTGGAGATGTATAAATTCAATAAACATTAGACAATTTCAATCAAATATTATGGAAAACTTATGAGTGGTGAGGCTACAAAATATTAGCTTTTTGATTCCATACTACATGTTTGAATTCAATGCAATAATCCTTTTTTCTTGGGCTTACAAGGGGAGATTTCACAGAGAAACCAGTTAAAAAGACTATCAAATCTATGTATCAGAAAGGCATTTTTACCATTAGAAATGATTTATAATTAATTTGAATTATTTTTTGGGTTGATCATTTAAATCTCTCTCTTTATTTGAGTATTTTGATTAAATACTAATTTTTGGCTATGATTATGACCAGACTAAAAGTACAAGTATTATATATCTAACATAGTAAATAATTTAGTATGTAATTTGAGTGTAAATTATAATTCACTTAATTAGTACATGTATAGGTAGTTCCTTTGTCCTAAGATGTGTAGATCAGATTAATAGTGGATAGTTATAAAGTTTAGTGACGTCTCTACTGATCTGAGACACACACACACACACACACACACACAATACAGCCCTAAACACATAAGTAGTACATTGCATTTATAATTTTACTACTCATCAGGACTGGATAACTGATTAAAAATTTACTAATTTCAGGTACACAGAAAAAGCTATGTTGTCCTCTATGGTGATGAGTGATTTCATTATACTTTATGTTATTGGATAATTTGTAAGTTATTTGAAAACTTAAGCATTTTGGATTTTTCATTTTGTGTTTCTCTTGTCTTTTAAAAGGAAAGGAAAATATGTAGGGAAGTTTTAGTGAATTTGGCAAAAGTATGAAGATGTCAAATGAATGATTTTTGGGATAAAAGATATATAAAGACATGACTTAACACAACATTAGACTTCTTCCTTAAAAGATTTTTGAAAACACCAAGAGGGGAAGAAGATTACTTAATAGACTGAAATACAAATCCAGTTGGAATCTGGGTCTACAGGGCTTTTGAGTCTTCTAATATTGAAAATCTCAAGTTGACTCTCTAGTTTAAAAAAAAAAAACTGGAGAAAGGAAAGGAAAATTTTTGTTCTGGAAATGTGTTCTCTGATGCAAATAGAAATCCATCTTCCAAAGGAAGAAGTAGAGATGAGTTGCTCTAATTTGGTCTTTTGGAAAGAGACAAGAAGAATATGAATTTGCTAAAAATCTTTTGTTTCTTCTAAGTATTAGTTCATATGCTCAGAGATATCTTTTTTGTGTGTGTAAAAATTTTCCAAACCCAAGATCTTCATAAAAATTAACTAGAAACACTAAAATACATTTTTGGAACATAAGAGTATAGGGAATATTAATTTTTTCAAAAGTTACATAATAAAAGAATCTAGCATTTACTTGGTGCTTTTATTTCAAATAGTTTATCCACTTTCCTTTTTATCCATTAAGAAGGGGGAAGTTTCTTTGTATTATACATGTGCAAATTTGATTTCGTTAAGAGCACAGAACTATGTGGCTCAAGTGGCTAAGGCGCCAGCCACATACACCTGAGCTGGCGGGTTCGAATCCAGCCTGGGCCCACCAAACAATAATGATGGCTGCAACCAAAAATAGCCCAGCCTTGTGGCCAGTGCCTGTGGTCCCAGCTACTTGGGAGGCAGAGGCAGGAGACTCGCTTGAGCCCAGGAGTTGGAGGTTGCTGTGAGCTGTGATGCCATAGCACTCTACCCAGGGGGACAGCTTGAGACTGTGTCTCAAAAAAAAAAGAGCACAGAACTAGGTGGTATCATAGTTCTTTAGTACACTTCTTGCCTACAACTTAACTGGCTACAGCCTACGACCTATTTATTTTTCCATTCAACTACCATTTAAGTTTAAATATTCTGTCAAACTTCCTCATACATATTACGTCTTATTTATGTTATGTTACACATATAACACATGATATATATGTTTATAATATATATTTACAGACATAAATTACTTTAGTATTTATACAGTATAAAACATATGATAAACATATAAATTAAGCATACTAATAAAACATCGTGTGTGAGAAATTTTATTATACAATCTATTTTATACAATTATTACAGAGATTACCATGTCTCATAGTTTATCTTATACAGATGTATTATTTCCAAAGACTAAAGATTTGTTGAAAACACAACAAATCAAGTTTGATCCATAATTTTCAACTACTGCTCAGGCTTACATGTTAATAAAACCATTGGTAACTGAAAGGATATTTTGCAAAGCTTCAGTATGAATTCTGACAAGCATATTCCAAGTTATGCTTCTGAAATGGAACTATGGCAGATGCCTTAATTTGCTAACTGTGATGAAGCCCATTAAATAAGAGTGGTGTTAACACAGTCAGAAAGCTTAAAAGAGGCATGATAATTTCTGTAAATATTATGAGAAAAAAACTTAAAATCTAAAACTGTCCGACATCTTCATGAGTAAAATTAAATTGAAAATGTTATAAATCATTTCTAGGAGTTCAGAAAGAAATTATTCATTGCTTCCTTTTTGTTGAGAGAATTTATGTTTATAGACATAATTATTAGAATACATAAATATATAAGAACAATCTCAGATGGAGATTCCTAAGTTAGATGACAAAGGACATTTTAAATATTTTAAAATTTCATCTTATTCTGTGGATTTCAGTGATGGAGTTTATGGAACTACAAATTACAACTCCTCTGGAGATACTTACCCTTTTCTGTTCTTTTACGTATTCTATCAATTCATCTCTTGCTCTTTTTACTGCTTCTTCCACAGCCTTTTCACTTCGCTTCTGTTCTTCTATTATTGCTGCCTTAACAGTTTCCTGTTTGTGGGAGGAGGAAAAAATTAGAGAGGTATGCACAATGACATATTTCTGTCCATTATATATAAACTACACATTCTTTAATGGGTTGCCGCTCAATCTGTTCAAAACATATCCTTAAATGCGAATAAGAATTTATAAAATCTTTAAGATCTGTTAGGGATTTCTTTAAACTGAGTGAAAGGGAAAAGAAAAGGAATAAGCCATTTATTATAGGGAGTGGCTGACAGATTCCAATGGATTTCTTACCAACCCTTCATTTGATGTTTACGTGATTGATTGCCTTCTGGTATTCTGCACTATCCACACAAGACTTCCAACTTGTGTTTCTTCTTCCAAGAACACCCGAATGCTCTAGCTGTTTTAGTCACGTTTAATTTTGCCATCATACGATAATCAATCGTCGTCTGGGTGGTAAGATTTACAGCTAGTTTGGTCCTCTTGCCAGCTTAAGATATTGAGGGTTGGACATTAACAATAAGAGGTAAAAAATTCCTCCCCGTGTGCTAACATTTGAAATGGGAGATACAGGGAGGAAAATGGTATTCCTCGATTATTAAAATAGTAATTGGTTACCCAAGACATTTTAGAATTGCAGAGAGAAAGAATATTAAAACTATAAAAAAGAAATACAACACTTCAGAAGAAATAGTGATGATTGCTGCTCAAATAGTGTTTCATAGATTGAAATGAATGCCACAAAACAAAATTATTTCACTTCCACCTGTTTATACAGGTACAAGCCTATTTCTTATGGGATAGCAACCTAATTGAGTAGAAAGAGATTTGAATTTCTTAGAACATTTCCTTCATTTTTGATTATTAAAGGCTCTTCACTCTGTGGTGTGTATATATGTATCTGCTTAGTCTAGTTTTCCCAATTAATTTTAGAAATGTATATATGTAAAAACCTATAAAATACAAAATAATATTATCTACTCTGAATATATTTATTTAAAAAATTTGAAAACGCAAAAAAATAGGATCACAAACCAAGATACACTGGCATACACTGGCATATCCACATAGTAGATACAAAGAAAATGAGACTTAAAACTATATATACTGTTTTCTATTTCTGGCATTTTTCCCTTAAATATATTTTTCATATTTTCTTGAGCCATAATACAAAGCTATGGGCACCAAGCCACATCGCATATTTTAAATATTGTTTATCATCTTAAAATATATGCAGAAATAATATGCAAACTATAATATGATTTCTATTTAATTAGAGAGCAGCATAATAATTTACCAACTCTTAATCATGGATATTTTGGTTATTTAATTAAATAAGCAGGAAAGAGCATCCACATATGTATCTTTGTGCTGCATCTTAGCTGTTTACTTAGATCCAATTCAGAGAGTGGAACCATTTTGGCAAAAGGATATAAACTCTCTAATAGCTTTTGACATTTTGAACAAATTTCTTCCCAAAATCAACCCATGAGTATGACTATTTATGGAATCATTGATTACATTTCATTTCATCAGTACTTAAAATCTTTTCTGATTTGTGGAGAATGGCATCTAATTTTACCCTGTTTTAAAAAGATTATGTGATGTTAGCAGTTAGTTCATAGAAATATTTGCAGTATATGTTGTTGCCGCTCGTCATTAGCTTGATCACGTCCTCTGCCCATTTTAATATTGTATGTTTATCACTTTTTGGATTTCCTCTTCCTAATATTTAAAAGTGACAATTCTTAAAAGTCTATTTAATGATTACTTTGAAAATGGTTACTATTTATAATTACTGAGTACATTAAGTTTTAGTTCCATTGATGAAATAATACAGTACAAATTTGTTTCTATAATTATTTGAAAATACTAAAGTTGAAAAAGTATGCTAATTTTTAAAAGAAAAAAATGAGAATGAGGGAGGCTATTCCAAAATAAAAGCTATTTATTACAATTCTTATTGACTTACAAATATAGAATTTAAAATTTTTCTATAAAGGCAAAAAACATAACATATTTACTAAACTTCCCAAAATAAAATACACGAATACTTTTGTAGTAGAGTATAAATTTTCACACTATGTTGATAAATTAAACGTATAAATAGTATCACATTAGTTCAGGTCAGGTTTTGTCAACATTGAGTTAAAAAATCCTTAGTTTTCAGGGCTTTTAAAATTTTAGATTAAAAATAAGATTTCTATCTAACAATGAACTTAAGTGAATTTGACTAGGCCTGTTTTACTGAAAGCAAAAGCATCATTTTAAATAAATGGACTATATCCAGAAAAACATGAAGAGTCAGCTAATGTTCTTCAGTTGACATTTTTTGGGGAAAGAGGGCTGAAAGTTTATATTAATTTCTCAGTCTAATTTTTTTAGGATCTTCCATTCTTCATTTTTAAGCCGGCAAAGCGCCATTTACAACACAGTTTCCCTTGATCACATCCTCCTCAGTTGAGAGTTAGGTGATAGTGCAGGTTGTGAAGGTCATTCTGAAAAACTATTTGTCCATGAAGAATTTGTTTGAATATAATACAAAAGTAAAGTTTAAGCTTTCCATTTTCTAATCAATCGAGTTCTGTATTAGATAGAACTGGTTAACAGTGTTTGCAGGTATGTGAGGGATGGTGAATTTCTGCCTGCATGTTTTGTTGATGCCATGAATGAATTATATTGTCCTTATTAGTCATAAAAATTAATGTACTCATAGCTTGCAAGGAACAAAGTGCTGCCACCAATGAGTACATTCAAAAAGGCGATTCTGAAAGGTTATTTTCCAGAACAGTTTAATGATAGCAACTTGACTGGAACATGGTACATTCCCTGAGGCAGGGTTTCTCAACCTCAACACAATTAACCAATTAACGGGGTGGGGGGGGAGATACATCTTTTGTTAAACAGTGTACCTACTCTTTGGATGGCCTCCAGCTCAGAAATATTACTATGAAGCGAATAGTTTGCAAAGAAAAGTACTCAATTGCATATATAGGATGGTGTAATTTGTAAAGATGTATCAGTCACATTTCATGTCATATTTCTTTTTTTTGAGACAGAGTCTCACTATGTCACTCTTGGTAGAGTGCCATGGTGTCACAGCTCACCACAAAGTCAAACTCTTAGGTGTAAGCGAATTCTCTTGCCTCAACCTCCCAAGTAGCTGGGACCACAGGCACCCACCACAACGCCCAGCTATTTTTTTGTTGTAGTTGTCATTATTGTTTAGCAGGCCCAGGTTGGGTTTGAACCCACCAGCCCCAGTGTATGTGGTTGGGCACCGAGCCACATGTCATATTTTAAATATTGTTTATCATCTTAAAATATATGTAGAAATAATACATTCAAATGATTATATGACTAGTTTTTGAGTATGGAGAAAGTTCTATATACTAAAAATGAAAGGCTAGAATCAATCAGTTTTAAGAAAGTCATCCAGTTATAATTAGGTACATTGTGTTAAAAGTCATTCAAGACTAAAAGCTTATGTGACATTTTGTACAAGATTTTATGACTTCTCTTTATTGGTTAAATGTATAGTTATATTTTAGTATCTACTAAATCTGCGATACATTTCAATAATCACAGGATCATGAACCAATAAAAGGTCTGTGGTTGTTTGCTCTTTATCAGCGCAATTTTCTTAAGGACTGTAAATACAGTTAAATGATTTACGAGAAACAAATATCAGCAACCAACTCAATTCTGGTCTGTGGGTTATAAACCACAGTATCATGTGGTTGTTTAATTTTCTAGGGGAATTGTGTACTTATTTCTTGTTTCTATACAGGATATATGCATATTATCTAATTATGCATTATTTTTAAAGTTGCATGTGGTTATGAAAATGCACCTTAGAAAATAAGTGATGAACAGGAGGGGTAAAGATCAGATATCACATACTATACAGTGTTCTAGTTTGTGGTTGACAGAAAACTCTGTTCATACATTCGTCAAATATTTCCTGAATACCTATTTTATGTAAAGAATAGCCCCAGATACTAAAAAGTTTTTTGTCCTTCTCATAATTAGTTTAAAATTTATTTGTGGAAACAAAACATAAATATACAGCAACTGAAATAACAGTATAATAAAAGAGATCTCAAAAGATGTGGTGGCTGATGAATGGTGCTAATACTAATTATGAGTTATAAGGAAGGAAATATTAACAATGTCTACAGTGGTTAGAGAAAGCCTTAAAAAGTGCTAGACCCTAACCTGAGATTTAACTGGTATTCGGTACACAGAAGCATGAGGATGAAGACCGAGGGATAAGAATAAGTAGGTTGTGTCGAATGTTATTTAGAAATAAAATCTTATATGACAATTGATGAAAAGAGTGAAAAGATAAAATCCAAGTGAAAAGATAAAATCCAAGTATATGTTTGAGGGCTCTTGTGGGAAAAGTGGGAAGAACAGAAGATGGAAAGCCAGGCTGGGTCCAGGTAGTGGAGAGCCTGCAGGCTTAAGGGCTGAATCAGCAACCCAGTAAAGAGCTACCAGCACTGTCATGTGGACTGGTTGCTCCTATTGCCACTTCACAGTCTTTACATGAGTCAGCAAATACAGTCTTTATTAATCCCATACATAGTCATCCTTGCCTTACTCCAAATGATATAGCAAAAGTAAATAGGAGGTATGTTTAGCACAATATCTGTCAAAAGTGGCTAACTCTTAATTTAAATAATGGTCTAAGCAAGGAAAAGAAAACACAAGTTTTCATTCCCATCCTATATAGGAAAAGAAGGATTACTTGGTACCATCCTATGTTGACAACAGGAAACTCTGATTTAGGATATATATGCCAGAAATTAGTGTCTGTGTTTGTTATACCAATGTACAAATAGAATAGTTTCATTTAAAGTTGTGAAATTTTCCCATGCTTTCATTCTTTTCTACATTTTAATAAATAGAACAACTAATATCTGGTATTATAGGTAGAGTGATTTGGGGGTAATAAACTAGAGTCTCTGTAGAGTTTTAGATCAGATGGCAAGGAAAATAAGTACCACTTCAGTATCTGTAACAAGCAATTCACAAAA